TGCTTTCGTAAGAAGGCAAATGGATGGCTTTCCGACTATAGGTTTTATGTTCAAAGGAAACATCTCTCCCTTTCTTTTGGATTTTAGTAACACCGCCTTTGTTTTCTTCTCAGTTATTTCAGATCCTTGTCATCAAAAGAAACCTTCAGCCCTGTACCTACAACCAATTGAGAAATGCTTATCAGGTTATGTTGCAGGCCTTCCACATAGGCTACCTTCCGAATGGAGAATTCGCCATTCGTGATCATGCCATATCCTTTGATCTCTCCTGTGGAATTATTTCCATACTTCACTTTGCCACCATCCTTTAACATTCGAAATTCCCTGAGCTCTTCCTTTCTCCCTGTCATGTGACGTGAACAGCCATTATATCGATGTATCATTCAGAGTCGTACTGTTCGTCACGAATCACCTACAAATTTCAGAGAGATTTAGGAACTCAAAGTTGTTTAGGTCCTTGTGAGGTTTTCTTAAGAACAAGAAATGTTATTGATTCATCAAACAAATATGATCTCTTTATCAAAGTTGAATTCTCTCCTTTCATTATTTTGAAAACAATAATCCTTTCATCATTGGGATTTCTTTTAAAAGTGATTTTTTCTGTTTAGAAACTATTTGTTACTTGGCAACCTTTTTCGCAATTTTATTTTCCTCCTTTTTCAACTGAGCTTCGGAATCTTTGGAAGAGATTTCAGGTTTCGAAACTAGTTTGCCTTTGCCTTTAACATCTTTTTATGCATTGAAAGTTTTTGAAGAATTGGATTTAGGAGAAAACTTTGGTTTAGCTTTTTTCAAATGGTTTCGAAACTTGAGGTTTTGCAAAATGTTCTGGTTTCGCAACAGGTTTTGTAACCAGAGGTTTCACAACCTGTTTCGGAACAGATTTTAGTTTCGAACTTTGAACAGGAGAAGATTTCACATTTCGAACCGGAGTTCTTACTGAGTTAACAGTATTGTTATTAGAATAATAACTTTTCCAGAATTGTTTCCTAGCTTGTTGATTTTTCTTATATCTACTGTTCATCTACTTTTTCTTGGCTATCATTTCTTCTGCAGACAAATGAACCTTAGATCTAGAATTTTCCTTTCGGATCTTAGGATAGGACGGTTTCGAAGAGGTTTCGCAAGGGACATCTTTGGTGCCACTGGGACTTGCCTGATTGCTATAGGGATTGGCAGAATTAATAGGATTTGAGACATATATGACTTTCGTCTTCCAAGAAGTCAATTCGGACAGACCTTTTGTCTCATCTGCATTGTCTATAGGACTATCCTAGAAAAATTCGGGACAACCATCAGCATTATCATCATTTATGATGGTTGTTAGTTCTGGAGTATCTTTTGTGTCCAGTCCGGTTGTTACGAACACTTGGTTCGGAACTGTTTTTACTGTCGGAAAAATAGCTGCTTTTTCTCTTAAAATATCCGGACCTTTGTTTTCAACAATGCGAACATATTCAATGGAGTTTTTGGAAATTATCTGTTTCTTAGGTTCAGATTCATTTTGAACAAATGTGAAACAATCAATCTCATCCTCTACATAAATTTCACTCATCTCGCTTTCGTTAAATTCAGAAACATTTTAAGCATCGAAAGTGTTTTCCGAACTTAATTTTATGCACAACGAGTCAAAATTTTGCATAGTATCAGATTTAATTTTCTCTTTATCTTTTTCATCCAAAACTTGTTTTAATATATTCTTATGGTCTTTGGACTGTATGTAGGCTTCAATTTTGTCAAGACCAACTCGGTATGCTTCTGAAACCTCTTCGGAAGAGACTATGGACTCGCACTTATAGCACTCTGCATCGATTTCATCATCTTTCAATTCTAGAAAGGGTAAATCATTTTGTGTATCTTTTTGCCTATTTCACAATCAAGATGCAGTTGGGTAATGTTAAAATATAACCGCTGTTGTTTTAAAAGCGCTAAATTGTCTCGTTTCAAATAAATAACATCATCCCTAGACCTAGTTAACTCTAACTCCAGCTTCTCTATCCACATTCGTCTCTCTTCACTTTTACTTGTTACCCTGCTGATTTGATCACTTAGGTCAGAATTACTTAAACGAGTTCTCTTTAAACTATCACTAAAACTAGAGAAAGTGTAATTTAAATCATCTAATTCAGATTCATAACGTGTAGCAGGAATATTAAGAGATTGAAGTATAGAGTGTACCTTGTTGATGACATTTTTGCACTCCTTCACCTGTTGTGAAACAGGCCTCGCTGTGAAACAGCTTTTAGTGGGACAACCTGCATCAGTTGTGAATTCCTTATGCTCCGAGACTCCGCTTTGCACCATCGAACATTTCCCAGCATACTTCTGCGCATCAGCCTTCGCAACAAAACATTCACCATGCTTCGGCTTTCGGACCTCTTCGTCATCCGAATCAGTAGACCATACTTCAACACGTCCAAACTCATCACCATCCTCCTGCACGATCAAAGCAAGTTTCGCATTTTCAGCATCCTTTCTCTTCCTCAGCTCTTCTATCTTTTGAAGATAGTGCGCTTCATTTTTCTCTTCCTCCTCATTCATTTTTCTCAGCATGCATTCTTTGGCAAAATGGTTCTTGCCATGGTAGTAGTTGCAGTCGTACCCAGAGTCTCCAAGCAGCTTCTTTTCCTGCTTATCTTCTTCCTTTTGTGAGCTTTTAAAGCTCTCATCCCTTGACTTGTCTGAACCATGATTTCCCTGTCAGTTCCTGTTTTTGAAGCGACCAAAGTTCTTCTTAACAAATTTCTTTGGATTAGAAACCATCAGAGCAAATTCCTCCTTGGAGAGTTTACAGTCCGAAAGGTCAGACTCCGAGTCTTCCTCGGCAACCTTTTTATTCTTCGCAACGAGGGCCAACGAACCTATACTGGAGACGAGTTTCACATATTGCGTCACTTCATCTTCATGGGATCTCAGAATCTCCACCAGCTTCGCCAAAGTATAGCTCTTGAACTGTTCATGAGCTTTCACAGTTGTTACCACTGCTTTCCAATCGGACCTCAAGTCGTTCATGAATGTGACTTTCTACTTAATCTTTTCACGCTTTATTTTATGTTTTACCATTCTTCCCAAGAGATGATTAAAGAGATTAAAAGTATGATCAAGTTTCTCTTCTGGCTTTTGAACGAAGGCACCAAACTCCGACAAAAGCAAGGTTTGTACAAAGTGTTCCAGATATGCGTCGCTTGAGTAAAGCTCCTTCATCCTGTCCCATATTTCCTTGGTTGTATCACATGCACTAACTAGACGAAACGTGTCTCGAGGCAAAGCAAACCTGATTATTCTCATGGCCTTTATGTTACTTAGCAACTTGTCTTTTTCATCTTTTGCAACTTCCTTAACATTGAGAAGAAGTTCGTTGTATTCAGCTTGAGTTTTGATGATTTTTCTTGTAGCAGTATGCATGAAAGTCTGCTCCGTCATTGCCTCCCATATTAGGTTCCATTCTCTTCAAGACCATGGACGTAGTCTCCAAAGTTTAGTGCACAAACTTCATGGTCTTGTGGGAAAAGGATTGGGATCCTGGTAGTCGAACCAATGCTGCTAGAAAGATTGAAAGAAAGAGTATGTGGATCTTCTGGATTCATCTTTAACAAGATTGTCGAAACTGTAATGAATCAGATGTCTAAAATACTAATCGAGATTAGGGTAAGCAACAACCCAGATCTAACGTCTACAATCGATGAAAGCGATGGAGACGACTAGAACATATCTGATAAAAATCAAACCCTAGTAAGCTCGACAGAAGATATGCGTATATATTACACAATCTCCCGCTCTGATACCACTTGTTGAGCATTAGCGCTACCGGTTGATCTAAAACCAATTGGTGTTAGAAAAGACGCAACCTTACCCATATAGCTCATTCATCCCTCCAGGACCAGACATTCGATTGCGGCACTCCAAGCCATCGTGTGTGGACTTTGGTCAATGCCATTTCTGACCCCTAAGAATCCCCCCCCCTCATAAATTGCTCCCTGAGAGAATCGAACCCTCGCCACTGGCTTTGATACCAATTGTTGAGACAATAATAAAGATCGATAGATGCAAAACAGTTTAATTGAATCAAAACACGAAGAACAAATGATCAAATGTGCTGAATGATTATATTATCAAAGTCTTAGAAGAGTTCTGTTTGAACTTTTTTGTAAAGACGATGTAGGGCAATACAATCGATTACCCTAAAAACGTTGCATGCATGCACTATTAATAGTCTAACCCTAATATCATTAAATTTCGGGTGGATAGGCCCATCTCGTTACTATATGGACTATTCTAGTACAAATAATATTGAGACAACACATTAAATACCCCAACATGTAGGTGTGTGTTTGTGGGGGTGGGTGGGTGTGTGTGGGGGGGAGGGTGGCGTGGGAGTTGGTGGGTGTGGGTAGATAGGGGTGTGGTGGGTTGGGGGTGTTAAGATGGGGGTAGGTAGAGGTAGGAGTTGGTGTGTTTATATTTTAGAAAAAATTTGGAATTAGAAAAATATGGAAAACAATGATTATTGGTTTTCCAAAAATTTCCAACTTCTTTGTAATTTTAGAAAACGAAAAATTTCATTTTCTGTAAAAAAAAATTTAGATAAATAGACGAACTAAACGCGTTTTCAAAATTTTCATTTTTCTTGAGAAATTTTTCCGGAAAACGGTCCATTTTTCCACAACTAAACGCAACCTTACCATTTGAAATACCGCTCATACACAATCACAACCTCTCCTGTTTATAAGTTTAAATTTAAAAAGTTATTAACAACTATGTTGTAATTTTGTGTTCTTTTTTATTTTGAACAAATACTTGAGTTGCAACTTATTTAAACAAGTCTAAAACTTTTTTTAATTTATATAAACTTTGAAATTTAAAATGAGTCGTTCAATCGAACCCATTGGAAAAAAAAATAAATAAATAAACAGGTCAACCAGATATCTCATTTATCTGAAAGTAAAGTTGACTTTCCAAATATTTTGGATATTTGTTTAAAAGATAGTAAAAAGAATTGTACTTGTTACAACTTGTTTCAAAATAGACTTCAAACAATCAAATATGAATAGGTAATTCATATGGTGTAATGATGGTAACCACGTGGCTGATACTGGTACGGATACGGATACATGACAGGATTCTGTCTAGATGGTTGTCCAACAGTGTAACGCGAGACCCCTAGCGGTGGCATATTAGGAAATGAAGAAATGCGGTCATATGGAACAGGCAACAACGATGCTTCTTGTTGTCGGCGATGATGATTAGGATATATCGAACGGTTTGGGTCCGCTCGAAAGGGCATTTTCGTCTTTTTAATATGTACGGTTTTCCTCTTGCGGACACTTGTAGTGTTTTGTTTAGGTGTTCGAGTTGGTTGTTTACTTCGAGATGGTCCTTTGTTGGATAGCCTTTGTCTCTTTCTACCTGATTAATGAAACAGAAAATCAGAATATACTAACATGACATGACAGAGTTGTACTTTGTACTGAGTTTTGACTTTTGGCATGTACCTTTATTGTTATTGGAAAGAAATTCTGTCTTTTTTAATTTTCGTTTATTATTATTGTTATTGGAAGGAATTTGAATTTCTGTCTTGTTTGATTTTCGTATATGTCTAGCTGCTTCCCCTCGCTTGTGTTTTTCTTCAAGAACTTTTGATCTTTCTGCTTCACTCTTCCATGGCTAAAAAGTAAAAAGTAAAAACCACCACCCTTTTTTTATAGTATATGTATTTTAGTTATAATTATAAATAGATATTCATTTACTTAAATAAAAAAAAAAATTACCTGTCTAAATGTCCCATATCTGTAGAGATTGCGACCTTTCACTAGCAAAGTAGAAAGCACAGGGAGTTTTCTCGACCCTTTGTTCCACAACACTTCAACCTTTTTCAAACATTAAAAAAAAAAACATAAAATTAATTAATTTAATATCATGTTTTTTTTTACTATATTATTTATCTGACTAACTGTGAATGTATGTTGTTGCTTTGATGCACCATAACTTTCTTTCACTATCCTTCCAGCAACAGTTCTTTTTCCCACTATATTTCCTCTATTCGCCCCTTTATCATATCTATAAGTGATTCAATGAGAAAAAAAACAATTTAGTAATAGAGCCTAAAAAAAGGTAATTGAATTTAAGGTTTCTTACTTTATTTTTTGTTTGAACAATACGACGTCTCCTTTGCATGCATCACCTGTATTTAAAGAAACATTTTGGTTTAAAGTATTTAATTGAGAAAATAAAGAAGAAAAAAAAAAGTATTACCAGTGCAATTAATTGAAAATGATGATCTGGGATATATTGACTCACCCCCTGCATCTTTTAACCTGGATTTTAGAAAACCTTTTATCAAGGTAAGATTCATAGCATCATATATTTTAAAATGTCATTTTTTTATAATTGCAATTAATAACTAACCTCTCATGCTCTTTGATTCTCTGTCTGCATTCCTCCTTGGAGCCAGATAATCTCAATCCATGCTTCCTCAAGTATGCTTTACACTCTACAAGACTTAACTCCTTTATGCCATTACTTCCTGAAAAGATAAAATAGCATTAAAGAATGTTTTGTGCACTTAAAAATGCACTTCTGTTTCTTTCTTTTAAATCTTTTTTTTTCCCCATTTGAGCATAGAAAGAACAGTTCTCAACTCTGTAATATCTTCAAAGGAAAGTGAGATGCCAAACAAGATGATCAGACCTAGGTCTTTATCATAATGCTAATGCCAATCACAATTAATATAAACCAGCATTTGAGCATGTTGCCAAGTGCATAATCCAAAAAATTAGGTCAAAATAAACAGATATTACCCTACCTAGCATAAAAAATAATGCAGTAAGCAATTTGGCTAAAACAAAATCGAGTCCATATCAACTCTGAAAGTGTAAAGAACTTGTGTAACGCATAAATTGAAGTGTTAGCACTTTTGCTGGAATGGAGGGATTGGGAATTCTGATTTAGCAGTCAAGAACAGATACTAGTCGCATTATTCTTCGCGCTATAGTTCAACATCAACCAAAATATTACAATTTTTGCAATTAGTTACCAATGTGATTGATTACACCAATCTACCGATAGAAGTAATTCAATTGAAAAAAATAGTTGGTACAATTTATTCCCAATTTTAAAGAGTTAATCATATCTGAGCCAGTCATACTTTCGCATTTCTAATACGACGAACAAGAAAACAAACCTTGATTATCAGAACATTCTTCTTCATCCGACTCAACATCGTTTTCTTCCTCCTCGTCATACTCCTGATCGTCCGATTCGCTATAATCGGTGTCGTCTTGCGATGAGAATTCCGATTCTAGTTCTTCTTCCTCGAAGATTCCGTCATCGTCTTCTTCGTCGGAGGAGATTGAAATGATGGGAGGTTTCATAACTGGTATTCAGAATCCAACTGCTCTACACAAATTTAGGGTGGATTTTACAGAGGAGTTGCTGGTTGGGGAACGTGTGCGCCACGCGAATATAAATACAAAAAATTTCAAAAAGTACTAAAAAACACCGTGCCAAAAACGACAAAAAAAAAAAAAAAAAAAAAAAAAAAAAAAAAAAAACAAAGGTCTTCCCAAATATAACAAGACTGCATAGTGACAAAAAGGTTTGATTTCAAAATTTTCAGTCCCAATTAACTACATGAGTCGACTCACTTTGTAAAAAATAAATCTGCAGTATGGACTTCCAGTATCATACATCACTCCGCACTACGATATTGCAAGCTGGTAGTCCATACTGCGGATTTGGGTTTTTGTACAATTCAGAGTATGTGTAGTCATAATGAGAGTTTACTCTGTCATAAATTGTAAAGTAGGTAAAAAAGTAATAATAATAAATAACAATTTCGTTTGAGAGAAAAATAGATTTTAGCAATATGGATGAATTTTTTGTTATAGTTTGAACGTAGGGTCATGGCAAATAATAGATAAAGAAACCATATATGTTAGGCCATTTGTTACAAATATTGGTGTACATATTTTGGTAGATATTAACTATTAGGGGTTGATAGAACTGGTTAAAGCGAAGACAGACATAGAGGTCAGTAATATTAAAGGTTTCTTTCCAACATGCAGAGTTTGGGTATGTTATGGACTTAATTGATGATAATGATACAAAACACTTGAAAAACGTAATTTATAACAATAAAAATAGTGCGCATATGTATTTGGTTGTGGTTGGTGATATTGAAGAAATGAAAGTGGTGAATAAGATTAAATGTTGGGCAACGATCAAATATAGAAGAAAACCCAAAAGTTGGGAGAGAGTATGGAGGTAGAGGATCCCGTGGAAGAGGAAGCGGACAATGTAGTGTATTTAGTATTTACCAATCAAGTCATTCACTATATTCACCATGATGTGGAGTGCCGATATTGGTAATCCATATCGATAATTGATTACATTATTATGTATTTGTTTGGAATTTATATGGTTTGATGAAAAAGGTTTCACAAGAGTTTTATAGCTTTTTTGATAAATTGTTTTGATAGTTGTTTTACATCTTTATATATTTATTTAAATATAATGAATACAATATGGGAATTGGGAGGTAGAAATTAGTGGATTAGAACACGAAGCATCCGTTGATACATACAAATACAATGCCACTTGCATACATGTTCTTGTTTTTTCTAGTCAGAAAATTCATGTATAAAAGGGACGTTTTTCGGTTTTTCTCACATTCAACTCCAAATCCATACACAAATTTCACCAAGTGTTATTGAGGTTTATTTGCAAGGGTCCGACTGGAGACACCATGCAACAACTTCACAAATCCAAGAAAACTCAACTTCCCATCCGTGTGTCTGATCCAGTCATGGAGTACCGCATGAACCGGAACCGACGGGCTCAACCCAAGTTCCTGTACAAGTATCGTTAGTTTTTTTGTCTAGACAGGACATGACATGACAGATCAGGTTATACTGCATTTGACATTCATTAGACTCAGACAGATGTCAATGGGACGAAAAATTATTAGACTGAGACAGATGTCAATGGGACGAAAAATAAATTTTTCGTCCTTTTACAGAACAGGTTGCACTGCTTTTGGCATGCATTGAACTGGACTGAGACGAATGTCGATGTGACAAAAGTTGCAACTTTTTGTCCCATAAACATTAGTCAAGTCAAATGCATTGGACTGGAAATGAATATATAAATTATTTTTTTAAATAAACTTCAATAACAATAATGTATTAAAAAATATTCAAAAGTTAATTATATTATTTTTCAAAAAACATATTTTTTGATTTCTTGGTATTTAATTTTTTATTCTTGTAAACAATTGTTTAAAGTAATAAATAAACTTTTTTGACTTCTCAAAAAACTCTTACTACATATTTTCAAACACATGAAACATGTGTATATATCTATAATACTAATAACTTAGTCAGCAATACACATCTTTCTTTGATCAAAGTTTATCCATATAAATTAACAATTTTTTCTTTCTTTATCAATTTAATTTCTCTCACTTTTCAAAATGTGCACACCAAACATGTTTGAATGATTCATTCCATTCTTTCCATAGTCAACCAAACATGATAATGGAATGTAACAACTCATTCCATTCCATTCCATCGTTCATTTCCATTCCATCGTATCAAACAGACCCTTAGATTTAAAAATTTTGGTAAGAATAAAACTTACAGAGGCGAGTTCTTCAATCATGATGGCTCGATTTCCATCTTTTTCAAAGAGTTCATAGGCACAACGAGCATGTTGTTCCCATCTTTCAAGAGCCTCAAGTTGATAGATATTTATTGCAGCTGCACAAAACTCTTCAAAATCCATCCTTCGGTATTGAAGTGCACTAAGCTGCATTATAAGAACACGCGCATGATGAAGGGTATTTAAGTAAAATGGCAGATTTGTAATGTTTTTATTTTATCAAATGACATACCGATGCTAGGAAATCATGGACACGTGACTCCTTCATGGCATCCGTAGCATGTTTCATCAACGCCTGAAAAAGGTAAGAAAAAAGTTTCAATTTTAGGGGTTAAAAGTTATATATAGGAAATAGCAACATACATTCGTTTATTCATATATTACAACATTATAGTTTGAAAAACTACCAAATTATATAGAAAACTATTCTCACCATTATAAATTTATAGAGTAGATTTTTCAAAATACAATGTGCTAAAAACAATCGAAAGCAGAATGTTGTAATTTGATAGAGTTTTGAAAGTACAATGGCTTGATAAGAAATTTATTTTGGAAATACAATGGTGTAATAGAAATTGATGAAAGTAATAAACAAATAAATGAAAGTATATTGCTATTTTTTTTAATATATTTAAATGAACTTATGGAACAGTTACTCACTGCTTTGATATTTTCCATGCTTATGGATCCGTTTTTGCTCGGTTCCAACAAAGAAAATTGCTCCTTTAAATAAAACAACTCATCTACAGTCAATGTCTTTGATAAAGCCTGCAAATTTTGAGGGGGAAAAAAAAGACTAAATTTAATACGAAGTTGTCCAAATAATGAAAACAAAATAATAATTCTCAACATTCATCAAAAGAAAATTTTTAAAAAAATACCCGTAAAGCAGCTTTTCGAAGAGCAGAAGAACGCATATAAGCCTTCATGAGTCTCAATATGGAGATGTCAAGAGGCACTTTCACTTCATTAGTAGTATTTCTAATCCATGGATGACCTAAACCATATCATATCATAATCAATTCAATATAAGCTTTCCTAGAGCTATTTCTGATAATAAAGATCGAAAGGGCATTTACGTCTTTTGCACAAGCAAGAGATCAAAAGTGAGTCTGTGTCCCACCTTTTTGAGTGTGACAAAAAGTTGTACTTTTTCCCACTTACATCAGTCTGAGTACTAATCCAATGCATGTCAAACACTGTGTAAGTTACACTGTGTTTGACATGCATTGGACTGAGACTCAAACCAATGTAAGTGGGAAAAAGTACAACTTTTTGTCACACTTAAAAGGTGGGACAAAGACTCGTATGACATGTTATGACAGAATAGGTTACACTGTGTAACCTATTCTGTGTGTAACCTATTCTGACAGAATAGGTTACAATGACAGAATAGGTTACATTGCATAACCTACTCTGTCATGACATAAAACATAGTAAACCTGTTGTTTCATGTCAAGTCATATCTTTATGTCAAACATAGTACAACTTGTTGTGTCATGTCATGTCATATCTTTATGTAAAAGTCATCCATAGGGGTAAAAAGGTAAATTGTGGGGGACACTTACTGAGGCCTTGGGCAGCTGTCATTCTTTTTCTAGGATCCTTATTCAACAATCTTTTGACAAAATCTTTGGCCTCAGATGATAAAGTAGGCCAAGGAGCTTCATCAAAACTGGGGTCCGCTTTTAAAACAGCTCTAAAGATTCCGGATTCAGATCGAGCCCAAAAAGGGCGACTTCCACACAAAGGAATATAAGCTATAACACCAATACTCCATACATCTGCTTCAGTACTATATGATCTATGTAGAACTTCAGGAGCAACATAATATGCACTCCCAACAATATCATTAAGCCTTTCATCTAAAAAAAAAACATCAACACATAAAAATCAAAAAGAGAAATCGACAACAAGAAGGAATAGAGTCAATAGAGACAATATATACATACACAAACATGTATGTATATATAGAGAGAGAAAATACCGGGCTTCACGAAGTCTGATAACCCAAAATCTATGGCTTTAAGAGGCGAGTTTTCATCCTTTGATGTAAACAAGAAATTCTGATGCAAAGATTGAAAATTGTTAAATGGGAATTGTAGAAAGAAAATGATATATATTATAGTCAAACAATATGTGGGAAGTCAAATAATGTAATTTTTTTGGAATAGAGAATGAGTCAATAAACTATATGATATGATAAAACTCTATAGTTCATATTAGAAAACAAGAAGCATAGAACAAAATTTTAGCACCAATGAATAAAAATGGTGTTGACTTTTGACTTGAGTGATATAAAAGATTCAAACTTTAGCCACATTAAGTAAAGGTGTCACCTCTGGTTTTAAGTCACGGTGTACTACACCTTGAAGATGACAAAACGCAACAACATTTAATATTTGTATCAATACAGATTTCGCATCATCTTCTGTGTATTTTCCACCTCTGAAAAATATAATTCAGTTAGTAAATTTAAAATTAAAAGTTAAAAACCCAATATTTTATATGAGTTTGACAATTGAAAGGAATAAAAAATGTTACCTTGAAAGTATTCTATCCAAGAGTTCCCCTCCTTCACATAACCTAGAAAAAAATAATAAATTTATGTTGCAGAATAGTTAAGAAACATAGAATGAAGATTTGAATGTATGATTGGATTCTTACTCCATCACAACATAGACTTTTTCATGATCTTCATATGCATCGTAAAACTGCACTAAGTTGTTATGTCCTGTTAAAGCTCGCAATATCTTCACCTCTCTTCT